GTCGAGCTCTCTTAGCCTTTCTCTCTTGGAGTTTTTTTGTTGGCTTGTTAGGTGTATAAGGATCCCTCCCCTGCCTGGGCTACCCTAACCGTCTTTTTATCTTTTGTATTTTTTTCCTTGGAATCCCTTTGTCGTTGGTTGTGTTTTGGGCGGTTGTTTCAGAGCGCCTTTGACTTTGCCCTAGCTGAGACTTGTGGGCTCGCTCTAGCGGGACCTGAGAGCCCTCCGTGGTGTATTCACTGCAGCGCCATCCCCGGATGGAGGGGCTGCGGGATGGCTGCGTAGAGTGTTGGCAGTCTGAGCTGGGGTCGGGAGCACACAAGACTAACCGACTAACCGCTGTGTGCTCCCGACCCTTGCGCTGTGTTTCGGCTTCGGCCCCCGGCTCTCGCGGCCCACAGTGTAATCTAAGTCATACATACATACATACTAGGGTTTGGCACTACTGGTAACGCGCGACCATTGCCCCGGAGATCCCGGGATCGAGACCCGTCAGGGTCGAAAATCCTTCCGATGGTGGAAGGTATTACGCCCCTAGTTGATGGACGGTGGTGGCCTGGGATAAAGTTAACCTGCGAGCCGAACAGGAATGGAGTTGGGCCGCTGTCGACCCGGCAGATTCCATTGGATGCTGGTGGTGGGTGCGGAACCTGAGCGATCCACTGAGAAGTTGACTAGGGTGACTGGATGAGGGTGCCACGAAATACCGGGGAAGGCAGGGTTTCGCAGGGTAGCTGCCATGGGTGAAGATAAACCCCCCTGTTTCACACATCATACATACATACATACACACACATACACACATACATACACACACATACATACATAATACATACACACATACATATGTCCAAGGCCAATCAAAGCCAAGGTCGGGTCGGTCTTGGCTCCTTGCTGGTGACAGTGTTAGCCAGTGTTTTTTTTTCATTTTTGCCTCGTCAATTTTCCAGTCCGAACGGAGGAATAGGTTTTTAGTCGCGGGAATATAAGTATTCCGAATCTGTAAGGCGCTGGGGGGGTTTACGCCCCCCCCAGACCCCCCCCGATGAGTTTTAGTTTTGTTCGTACAAACACAGGGTTTGGGGAATGTCGCAACATGCGCACACCACAATCTCTCCATAGAGGTGTCTCTTGCACGCCAGGAAGCGGCGCGCACTTGGACGCTTTTACAGGAACCCCGGTCGCACGGGCGACTGCTGTTGCAGAGCCCAAGCAAACAAACACAGACCAGTTAACCCCTACTCAAGCACTGATCAAATAGAGTTCGTTCACCATCGTTCGTTTTGCCTCACGTTGAAAGATAACACTACTTTCCAGGTTGCAAAAGTAATGATGCATAGCAGCAATGAACCGGAACCATCAAACACAACCTCTGCGGTTGGTTGCAGCCCCTGCTGTTGATGCTGCACGCTAGTTAGCGGTTCATTGTGTACCGGCCCCTGCTGCTGGCGGCCTTCCACTTCTCCAGTGCCGCCTCAAAGGGGAAGGGTTTCCCTCCACAAGGGTCTCCCTCCGGCACTCAATGACATACTCGCGCCCTTTGTGCAGGGAGCATGGCCCGCAGCGCACCATGTCGTGCACCTCCCCCTTACATCCGCCGCAATGCACTGCGCCCATGTAACCATAGCTCCGAAGTACAGCTGCCACTTGAGGGGATGCTTGTCCTTCTTCTCCAGCCACACACTGTCGCTCTGCCCCTTCACGACCCGCTGCGTCTGTGGTCGGGGCGTCTTTGCGCCGCGGAGTGTGGGGTTAGGAGTCTTAGCTGCAGCGCCGGGGTCGCTGCTGCCATCGACCTCGACGCCCGTGTTTCCTGGCCCATCGCGATTGCCTCCATATGACGAACGTTGAAGTTTGACCCGCTCGCTGTTGACAACCGGAGTGGCGTCATTGTCGTCGGCTGGCTGCAGCATTGCGTCCAGATTGCTTACGACCTTTACACCGCCTTCATCATCGTCGCTAATGGCTTCAGTGAAGTTTAGTATTTGCTTTAATGGCCTTCCACGTTTTGGGAGCTTCGGGTTCGAATATTTTGCAGCGTTTTGTCCGGTCAGAAACAGTCCGATTCCTTGTTGACTTTCGGGTGTGACCTTCCTAACAGTATCCATGGCATTAAAGTACTATGATATGATTAACATGTATGTCTCCTGTAAGATTCTAGCGGCTTTGGCATAAACAGTCCATTTTTGGCTGGAGGAATGAACTTGTACGGTCGGAACATTATTTATTCTTAATTTTCAGGACCGCGAACAATTTTTTATTCCGAATTCGAAATATATTCCGCAAAAAAAACGCTGGTGTTAGCTATTTACCCACCACTTGTGTCGCAAACACATCGCCTGTAGAGCCCGCGGTTATGCTGTGCACCGAGCCGGGGGCCGGGGGCGGCCAGGCGGGGTGGCTGGCAGCTACGGCCTTCCAGGCGGCGTCGTCGGCAAAACGCGGCCCGAAGGAGAATACCTTGCTCCGGCTCGGGTGGAGGTCCATGGCGGCAATCTTGTAGGCCACCGGATTCTGTCGGTGCACGAACCTGCGGGCAATACGTCTCCCGTAAAGCAGGAGTACGGCCTCACCTGAGCAAAAGAGACAGAACCTGCTCCATGCTCGCACAGCCTTACTAAAATAATCGCGTATTTGAAGAGCGTTTAGTGGCCGAAATACCACAAATAACGGCGAACACAGAGGTTACCAAACAAAAGCTTCAGCACGTTGTCTCGACTACTACTCGCCAGCTTCTCGTCCGGGCAGGCAGCAGGTACGCACCAAGCGAAGGCGACGTCCAGCGGGGGCACCACATCTTTGCCATTGTTCTGCTCCATAACCTTTATCCAAAAGCGCTCGTAACGCGCTGCAGCTGCAGCCGCGTAATAGCCCGTGTACAAGCCACCTTATAAGCGCAGGCACGGCTCGATTAATTGCACAAATATATATAGGATGCAGAAGAATTTCATCTTTCACTCCTACCTCTAGGGAAGCAGTCCACTGCATGAAATAGCCGAAGCAAGTCCACGCACTTTGAGGCAGGCTCATGCGTAGATATAAGAGAAGCGAGGTTTCCCTGCCATTTGTCTGCCATTTGTTTCCCTTGACGATTTCTATTTGTTATAAAATTATTGTTATTTCACCGATAGTCACGTAGGACTGATGCCAAGGGGCAATAAGTTTCGGCGGTTCGAGCCTCAAAATGAACCCACCCTGGAGCTGACCATTAAAACCGCGTGAAAGAGGCACAACACATTGCGGCGGTTAGCAATCGGGTTGCGAAGAAAATCGGCATCTGGTGCAGAAACGTGAGCTGGCTAAGTTATGTGGTTTCGCGCAAATCGTCAAGCTCGCCCTGACTCCGGCCCCTTTCTTTCTCCGAAATTGTTATAATGATATCAAGCAACCGGTTGGTTGGTCCGGCCGAGTGCGCTTGTCCCGTGGGTCATTACGTGACCTATACTGGTGGGCGGACATCCCTACCCATCGCTGATCGGCGGCTATTCTGCGGCTATTCACCAGGGCCCTGTCGCAGTTGAGCTTTCGGTGGATGTATCGCGCCATTCCTGGGGCGAAGTCCTGCATGGTCGTGGTGGTATGGCGCGCGGTTATTATTGGTCGGCACCAGAGCTTGGTAGCTTTCCAAGCACATCAATTGGGGGGAGTTGAGCGCTGTCCGTCATGCATGTAGATGGCACGAGGCTGTGAGGTCGCATGTAATATCGACATTTTTGCGACATCACTGCCTATGTCGGCTGTGTGTACTCTTCTGCTGCGTTACGCACTCCCTGTGAGACCGCTGCGCGTACCACAATGGGAAGCGAATATTATTCCTCTGGAAGCAGAGGAAGCTCCTGAACAGGCAATGCTACACCCAGTGTTGCAAGGCATAGACAGGGTGGCGACAGTTTTGAGCAGTTTTGACAGGGGTTTGGTATATGGCAGCAACGGCCAATGGGAACAACCATGCATCATTTCGTCATGCATATCCCCGCTGCAACGCGTCCATCTGCAGCCTCATCAGCGAGTTCTGGGCTGTGGCTGTGGCTGTGAACGCGCACTCGACCGCGGCTGATGCCCCAGAAGGCGGCGGCGATGCCGCCTCGGGAGACACCTGCCCACCTCCCTCATCCTTGGCGGTCGCGTGTCCATCACTTCCTCCCCCTCCCCATCCGCCTCGCACTCCTCCTCCTCCTGCACCTCCTTCCCCCTCCCGCCAATGCCGCACACTCCACACCACCTCTCCCACGCGGTGAACCAGTGACAGCAGCTCCTGCCGTACTACGGCAATCTTCCCACTTGGCAGCAGCTGCCCGCCGCCCTCTCCTTTTCTTCCTTCACCAGCCGTATGTTGATGCTGCTGCTGCTGCCGCTGCAGCTTTCCCTCCAGCCTCCCCTGCTCCCCCTCCCCCTCCTCCTGCGCCTCACGGCCATCCTGAGCCCCCCGGACACGCATCCATGCGGCCATCTCCGCCGCGCGGCGAACCACAGGTGCAGGTAGACCAGCCATCTGCGAGGAGCAGTGTCACCACCACAATCAGTTACATACATACATACATACACACATACGTACACACACATACGTACGTACAGGCATAAGTGCATGGGTCAGCGTGCGTGCGGGCCTCCGTAGCTAGGTCAGGGCCTTACGATGGAGGGGCCGTTCTAGGGGCCGCCGCAACTGTGGGGCGGGACGGACTTAGGCAGTCAGGCAGTCAGGCATGCAGGCATGCAAGGATGTTGAGGGGCCGGAGTGGCCCCCCACCAATCCCCAATCAGGTCAGATCGGATCAGGTACCATAGGGAAAGGGGGACGCGGCCTCGCTACTCGCACCTCATTAAGCAGTAATTACTTTAGCGACCACTTACAACCCCACAACCTTTCCAGTGCCGCACACACTGATGTGTTTAGACGGACATCAGCCCCTCGTCGACATCCTGTTCGTCGCCACCTCGCCCACACCCGCTCGACCTGCTCGTCACCCGAACAGCCCTACCGCCCTACGTCGCTGCCGACCCACCTGAGCCACGTTGAGCCCGAAACTCTCATCTGCGGCGCAATCTCGCAGCTTGTAAAGGAAGGTGATGCGAGGAGGCGCCCGCGCCCCCACTGCCTGCGCCTTCGCGTTCTGCACTCCCGCACCACCTCCTCCATCGCCGCCATCTTCTCCACCACTTTTCAATAACGTAACCCCGAACCCCCCGCCTCCCGTCCCCTCATCTTCCAATGACTTGATCGCAGCTGCGTCAGCCATCTCAACATCCCCCTGACCACCACCCTCCTTCCCCTCCTCGCTCTGCTCGTCCTGCCGTACATATGCCATATGGCACGCCCGTACAGCCCGGGGCCACCTTCCCACAGCCGTTTCGGCTAGCTGCGGGTAATGCGTCACGAACAGAACCAAACACGACGTAACTGACAGCAAGTGGTGCAGGACCGCCTCCGCTACCGCCACGCCATCGTGGGTAGCCGTACCACGACCCAGCTCGTCCAGTACGACAAGGCTTCGCGGCGTTGCAGCGGCTAGCAGCGCTGCTGTGTCAGACATCTCCTCGAAAAACGTACTGCATGAGTGTGTGTATGATATACGGGCATGTACGGGTATTTGTGTACGGTGGCAGGAAAGGGGATCACGGGGTGGGGCGGGGAGTTGCGGCGCCAGGGAACAGGGGGGGCTGGGAGGGAGGGGGGGCTACGAGAGGCGGCAGAGGAGGGCCCTGCGATTTGAGTTATGAGCGGCGGTTTGTCACAGTGGCAGTGGCAGTGGCAGGCCGCAGTGGAAATGCCTTAACGAGGAGGAGCTACGTAAGGGCTATGATGTAGTGTAGGAATCAGTTAACCTAACACTTAACTTTTCATTATTGCCCTTCCATCACTACCATACCTTTCTCCGCACCTCGCCTGTCCACCTACACCTACACCGCAGTCCCCTCCCACGCCAACGTAAATACAACCCAAACCTGCAGCATACATGCATACATGCATACATACATGCATACATACATGCATATGTATGTACATACATACATATGTACCTACAGGCAGGCAGGAAGGCAGACACTCACAGCAGGTCGCTGCTGTCCGGCGCCTCACCTCCTGCCCATCAGTATGTTGTCCGAGGCCCCCATGCGGGTGTACACGCCGTCGAACGCGGTCATCTCCAGGGAGGTCGCGGGGACGTAACTGCCCACCTGGGGAGGTGACGTGTGCGTCTGTACGTCTGTACGTCTCTACGTCTGTGTATCTGATTGCAGGTCTGAGTGTACGGTGCGTGTGTAGTAAAGTAAAGATAGCCTACATTCACGGACAAGTTGTCCCTTACGGCAACTACATATAAACTACATCAGACAGACAGACAGACAGACAGACAGACGGACACATGGATACATCCCGTCCCTCCTACACACCTGCGCCATAACCACCAGAAGTGCTGCCGTACGAGTGTAGCACGACTTGCCGCCCATGTTGGGCCCCGTCACGATCAAACACCGGGTGCCGCCACCTCGACCGTCAAGATCAACATCGTTAGGCACCGCCACGGACGTGCCGACGCCGCCACCGCCACTTCCCCGGGCGCGCATCGCTCCGCTGAGCCTGGCATCCAGCATCGGATGCCGTGCATCGCGCGCTCGCAGTACAGCTGTCGGCTTCGCGCCGCCGCCGCCGCCGCCTTCCGGAGCCGCCGCCGACGACGACGACGACACTGGTTCGTCCGCCAGGAAGACCGGTCGGCAGTAGCCTGGCGTCGCCGCCAGCGCCGCCAGTGCTGACAGGACATCGAGTTGCGCCGCTGCTCGTACGGCAGTGAGGGCTCGCGGGTAAGTAGGTGCGAAGTCGGAGAGGAAGTCGGACCAGGAGGACGACTGCGCGGCGGCAAGGCGCTCCCGAGCAACACCAAGAGCCTGTGGCAGTACGAGCAGCAGTACGAGCAGTATGTATGTCGTTATAGGGTGGTTAAGCTTCACCAGCGGCCCCCTTTCCCGAGGCAGTCCCTGCTCTCCCCTGCGAGAGGGGAACCCTAATCCATTCATCCCATCCGACTTCAGAATGTATTCGATGGGTTCAGCAACTCACCACCAGCATCCAACCAAATCTAGCGGATCAACGGCGCCTCAACTTAGTTCCTGGTCAGCCCGGAAGTTGATTGTATCACGTCCTACATCGTCCATAAGATGGGGGGCCACCTCCCATTTCAACACTTCTCAAACACCCGAGAAGTCGGCAGGCGGATTTGAGCAGTATAACCAGCAGTGAAAGCACAAAGTTAGAATCAGCAACAGGAAAAGGAGCAGCAGAGAAAGCTCACCTACCTACCTACTCGCCCACCTACATACCGGAAAAAACAGTAAAACGATGCCCCCCCCCTGGCCCCCCCCATTCAACCCCCAGCTCCAATACCTGCAGTCCCGCAGCGACTTCAGGCGGGTGGTAGCGATGGAACTTCTTCGTGGAGCAGACCTGCCGGATATGTCGGGGAAGAGGGAGGAGAGGGAAAAGAAGGTCTAGTATCGGGTTATCCTAATAATAATCATTCACAATAAAATAAAAAATGGAAGTCTCCTAGGGTTTGCATTTTCTTTATCATTGTCATACCGCGGTGATGATGACCGGGCGGCGCCCCTCAGGACGCTCAGGGTTTTGAATTTTTGATGCAGGAAAATAACTTTGTAAAGGAAATGAATTCATGTAAAAAACAACTGATGGATGATGACGAGGTCAAACAGAGGGAGGGGAGCAAGGAAAGAAAAACATCGCTGACTTTATATGAATTGATTAAATAAACGAGAAGAAACAAAAAACAAAAAAAGACATGTCAGGACAAAACCCGTACCTTATGCCATGTTTTCGGCACCCTCTTCTCCGCCTCCACGGGCACCTCCACAAGGTGGCTGCCCTGGTTCTGAATGGTGACGTACGACACAGCGGGGAGACCCACCGCACGCGCCAGGGAGGGAAGCAGACTCTATTTCCGGTGGGAGGGGTTTTGTGCGGCGGCGGGAGAGAGGGGGGGAGTAGGGTCAATTGGTAATAACTGGAAGCCGAGACACAGTGTAGAAAATCAAAACCCAAAAAAAAGTAAAAAAATGTGCACATACATACAGACCAGGCAGGCGGGCGGCTGGCAGAGGTTAAGGCCTGACATCTGCTCCCGGAGTGACCGGGTTCTAATCCGCCTGCCAACTCCTCGGGTGTTTGAGGAGTGTTGAAATGGGAGGTAGCCCCCCATCTTATGGACGATGTAGGACGTGAAAATATCTACTTGCGAGCTGGCCAGGAACTAAGCTGATGCGGCGTTGATCCGCTAGATTTGGTTGGATGCTGGTGGTGAGTTGCCGAACCCAACGAATACATTCTGAAGTCGGATGGGGTGACGGATTAGGGTGCCCCTCTAGCAGGGGAGAGTAGGGAACTGCCCCGGGAAAGGGGGCCGCTGGTGAAGCTATACCACCCTGTAACAACATACAGACCACACACATTGCTTAAGACGGAGCATGAGCACAGTGCAAACATCAAGTGTCGCAATCCTCTACGTGGACCTGGACCTGGACCTGGACACGAAACCCAAGGCGACATGGGAGCACACGGCCGCATTTCCGCCTTCCCCTTTCCTCCGCCCGTCTTTCCCCGATACCACACGTGCACACACACACACGCACACACGCACGCACGCACGCGCACACACACACACACACACGTAACACATACACACGCCCCGTGGCGGGCCTTTAGCGAATGCGGGTTCACCTGCAAGTGCTCCTCCGCCCCCCGTACGGCGTCCTTGGCTCCCCACACAACCGGGAACCTGAGGTGGGGCAAACAACAGACCAGCAGCAGTAGCAGCAGTAGCAGTAGAGTAGCAGCAGTAGCAGTAGAGTAGCAGCAGTAGCAGTAGTAGCAGCAGCAGTAGTAGCAGTAGTAGCAGCAGTAGTAGCAGCAGTAGCAGTTGTAGCCCTCAGCACCAGGAAGAAAGAGCGAGATGCGAGGGCGAGGGCGAGGGGTGATACAGGGATGACACGCGGAGGCCCTTGCGGCCAGTGTAATCTGGTTGCTCTTGAATGAAAGGAAGAGAAAGAGTCAACTCTACCACCGGACCACCCGGCCGCCGCGGCGGCCGCCCCCCCCCCCGGTGTCCCCACCACACACCGGGTTCGGTCCGCAAACAGGGCGTCAAAGTCGTTGGCAGCCGCTGCCCGGGTATCCAACGGCTGTAGCAGCGCCGCTAGCGCCTCCGCCAGCCCCTTACTCGCTACCTGCCGCAGCAGCAGCCGCAGCAGCGGAGAGCCAACACGGAGATCGGCTCCATCCGACAGTCCCGACGGGGTTCTGCAGGAGTAATTGTCGTCATTGGCGCCGCCAGCGTCCTCATCGTCGTACGGCAGGTCCTCTGGCGGGTCCGTCAGGGGCTGTAGCCCGAGGTCCGTACGGAGCTGTTGATGTGGCGGCGGGGAGGGGAGGGGAGGGGGGGTTGATGCGCCACGATGTCTGGGCACTACACTAGCCAACAGCCCAACACAGCCCCACTCCGCCATGCCCTGCGTGTGCGAGCTGTGTGTGTGTTTTACGCACCCTCCGAGGTTGCGTTAATCTCCTACGGTGTAACCTACGGTGTAACCTAGGGTGCCCCCATACATACATGAGGGTGCCCCCATACATACATGCAGGCGGCTGGCAGAAGTTAAGGCCTGACTTCTGCTCCCAGTCGATCCAGTCGACCCGGGTTCAAATCCGCCTGCCAGCTCCTCGGGTGTTTGAGGAGTGATGAAATGGGAGGTGGCCCCCCATCATATGGACGGTGTAGGACGTGATAATATCAACTTGCGAGCTGACCAGGAACTAAGTTGATGCGCCGTTGATCCGCTAGATTTGGTTGGATGCTGGTGGTGAGTTGCCGAACCCAACGAATACATTCTGAAGTCGGATGGGGTGACGGATTAGGGTGCCCCTCTAGCAGGGGAGAGCAGGGACTGCCCCGGGAAAGGGGGCCGCTGGCGAAGTTAACCACCCTGTAACAACATACATACATGAGGCAGGCGGCTGGCAGATGTTAAGGCCTGACTTCTGCTCCCGGGGTGTCCGGGTTCAAATCTGCCTGCCGACCTCTTGGGTATGTGAGAGGTGATGAAATGGGAGGCGGCCCCCCATCTTATGGACGGTGTAGGACGTGATGATATCATATCAACTTGCGAGCTGACCAGGAACTAAGTTGAGGCGCCGTTGATCCGCTAGATTTGGTTGGATGCTGGTGGTGAGTTGCTGAACCCAACGAATACATTCTGAAATTGGATGGGGTGAATGGATTAGGGCGCCCCTCTCGCAGGGGAGAGCAGGGAACTGCCTCGGGAAAGGGGGCCGCTGGTGAAGCTATACCACCCTGTAACAACATACATACATATCTGGAGCCCTGATGAGGGGGCCCATACGAGCGAGTCTAAGGTACACCATGGGGCCCAGTGTAAAGCTGTAATAAAAGAAAGCTCGAGACAGAAGTTATGCGGGGGGGGGGAGGGGTATCTGTCGGGTAATGTGTGTGACCCTAACCCAGCCCAGCCCCGAGGGTCCCCGGCTCCAGGGAGCCATATTCGTTCTCTCGTACACGTACCTGCTGCAGTGCCCGTACAGTAGCTACGAACTCAGCTGGCGAGGCGGTGCCGTACAGGCCCCGAGTGACACCTCGCTCCACGTCAGTAAGGCGGGAGAGGGCCTGGTCCAGGGGGGTTCATCGGGGGGAGGCGGCGGGGGGGAGGGGAAACGGGGGTTTGGGGTATGTGTATATGGGGGGAAGAACCGTATGCAACAAGGAAAACAAGGAATGAAGTACTGTATACTTAGGGGTTGGGTTGCGGATGGGTTCCGTGCTTTGGCGGGAAACAGCGTTGGACGTGATACTCCAGGTGAGATGACGTCATACGTCCTTGTCCTACATGTCGTACATGGCTGCGGATGGATCCACGGGTACCTGGACGAGCTGGTTCACATGAGCGTAAACCGAACGCCCTCTTTCTGCCCCTCCCTCCCTCCCTGCCCCTCCCTCCCTCACCTTGGCCACATGACACAGCGGGGCGGCGCCTCCTTGGGCTGCAGCGGCACGAGGCCACGAGGCCATGGTGGCAGGTGGCAGGTGGCAGGTGGCAGGTGGCAGGTGGCAGGTGGCAGGTGGCAGGTGGCACGGGGGAAGAGTAAGGAGAGTAAATTATGGATGGTGAATACGGAATAAGGACAGTAGATTTGGTGGGCAGGTGTGCCGCATCAAACCAACCAACCAATTAACTAACCACCAAGTCCGCGAGGGGGAATGGGTGATCTGCTTTACCCGTACTACTCCCCCCACCTCCTTCTCCTTCCCACCTCCCACAACCCCAAGTAAAAACCCGCCCGGGTTGCCGTACACGCTTCCCCCCTCCCCCCGGCCACCAGCAATCCTCCGCACTTCAACCACACACACAGACACACACACGCACACACCAGGTCGCCGTACAAACAAACAAACCCCTGGCCCCTGGTATATCCTACACCCGCACACACACCTGCTTCCAGAAGCTCCGAAACCGCGTCCTGGCGCCTCAGGATAAGATCTCGTCGACTCAACGGCCTAACCAACCACCTTCGAAGCAACCGCGACCCGAAAGACGTGTGCGTCCGGTCCATGAGCCGCAATAGCGTGCCGTCGCCGCTACCGCCTCCGCCGCCTCCGTCACCCGCCTCCGCCACCGACACAATCTCCAGCTGCCGCAGTGCGTTGGGACCCAACGCCATCTCCTGAAGCAGCGGCGGCGTCGCCGACGGCGCCGACTGCGCCGCCGTCGCCGCTGACGGGATTGACGTCGGGGGAGGCAATGTACGGCAATTCAACGGCCTCCAACAGCTGCTCACTTTAAGCGCCGCCGTCAAACCGAAAGGCTGCAGATGGTGGAGGGCGCCCCACGTGGCGAGTACGACAGCCGGCGGCAGACCCGCCGCAAAAGTGGCGAGCGGGGTGACAGCAGCGCCGGGATGGGCCTCCTGGGTTGCCGTACTCGCACCTGTCACCGGAAGTTACGGTGTGGGCCTGGTGGTTATGTACGGTTATGTGTGGGGCTGGTGGCGAGTTGGCGGCCCCAGGAGGCGGAGGAGGCGGCACATCGGCGCCATGTTGTCATGTTATGAGGTCACATGTTGTCATGTTATGAGGTCACAACGACCGTAACAAGAACCGGAGGACGAAGACATTTTTGGGCAGATCTAGACAGACAGACAGACAGGCTGACAGACAGGCAGACAGGCAGACAGGCAGACAGGCAGACAGACAGACAGACACAGACAAACGGACAGTACGAAGAGACCTCTCTCATGACAGAGGAGGAATGTGGTCGGGGAAAAAGAGGATAGATGGGGCCAGAAATGTGGCGGAAGCTAGCTACGACTCTACACCCCGTACATTAAGAATAGGATGAAGGTTACGACTACGACTAAGACGCAGAATGGCTTTCAGGGGGTCGATGCAACCTGAGAGCGCACCTCCGGAAAAGAACGCCGCCACCTCCCGCCGCGCTGCCGCCACCCAGCCTGCTGCCTCGCCATCCGCCGCCGCCGCCGCTGCCGCCGCATCATCATCATCATCATCATCATCATCATCATCATCACCTTCTCCTTCCCCCCCTTTCCCGCCTTTTCCCCCCGCCGCCGCTGCCTGGGCCCCCCTCTCACGCGACCGTTTCTGCCGCTGCCCCTTGCCTTTCCTTCCCTCTTGCCCCTCCTCCTCCTGTTGCTCATGTTGCCCGTGTTTGTGGCTGCTGCGCAGCGTCGTCGTCGTCGTCGTCGTCGTCGTCAGCACTGGCTGCGACGCCATCGAGGGGGGCTGCAGGTGCTCCAATCGACACGCGGGCGTGGATGAGACGTAATTCATCAGCATCCGTTTGGTAGCGGGTCGCAGGCCGGCGCCCACCGTCACCACCTCCACGGGTGCCGCCGCCAGCAACAGAGCCTCGAGCTCGTCGTCCGTCGAGGCCGCCGCCGCCGCCGCCGCCGCTGCTGACCGCTGCTGCTGCCGTTCCTGCTGCCGCTCCTGCTGGCGGTGGCGTCCGGCCGCGGCTTCATCATCACCGCCACCGCCGCAGATGCCGTACACGATATCGCCCCCTGTTGAGGCATAACCATCACCACCGGCGGTACATACAGACCGACAGTGCTTACCGACGTGAACGAGGAACTGAACGGGAACCAGCAGAGAGATAGTATGGGGGGGGAGGGAGAAGACGGACAAAGCTGTGCCGACGTCGAGGGGCATCAGGCCCCGTGTAACTGCACATACATACATACATACATACATACATACATACATACAGCTATAAGGAAAGCCGTTCCTTCCTCCGCTACGCCGTTTTCCATTACTTGGCGTGCGATCTTAACCAACGCAAGCCAACTACCAACTGACGCGATCAACCAACCGCACGGGCCCTACACGCTGACAGTTACCTGCGACATCCAAACAGAGCACGCCAAGAGCTCCCACACCCTCCTGCGATTAGCATCAGCAGTGGCAGCATCAGCAGTAGCAGCAGCGGTGGCATCAGCAACTCTAAGATATACATTCGTGCATACTCACTACACGCATATTCACATATATGTGTATGTAAAGGCCGTACACCTGCAGGGGGCCTTGGTGGGGAAGCAGGAAGGGACACACGCGGCAGGACACACATACATTTGGATGACATACATACACACGCACACGCACCTGGCCGGCAATGCCACCCTGTCGCGGTGACGGCGCCGTCGGCGGGAGCTCCGCCAGTACGAGCACGTTGGCTGAGGCGCCGAGCTGCAAAGGTACGGCATCCTGCAGCTCGTCCAGTGCATCTTCCTCACCTGTACGACGGTGTACGGGTACACATCCCATGCGCGGGTACGGCACAGGCACAAGCACACGCGTTTGGATGACATAATTCACATGATACCTCCCCTCCCCTCCCCTCCCCTCCCCTCCCCTCCCCTTCCCCTCTCCCCTACGCAGAGTTCATGAGCCAACGGAGAAG